TGTTTGTTTGTTTGTTTGTTTGTTTGTTTGTTTGTTTGTTTGTTTGTTTGTTTGTTTGTTTGTTTGTTTGTTTGTTTGTTTGTTTGTATTTGTTCATTTGCATGCGCATGTATTCTTGTAGGCTTAAGATCCGCGCTAAGTGATCAAGGCAGCATTTCCATTTCCAGCGCTGCTAAATTCTGGTCTAGTGCATGCTAATCGTATAAGTAAATATTTGCATGTATATTATTTAGTATATTAATTACAGAAACTGGTTAGGCCCAGAAAACTGCGAACCTCTGAAGCATTCGTGGGTGTTGGGGAATTACAAATAGCCTCGACTGACTGGGCGTTCGGGCGAATCCCACGGGCAGAAATATCAAAGCCAAAAAAAGTTATTTCAGAAACACTGAACATGCATTTCGCACTGTTTAACGTAAGTCCCCGTTCTTGAAGTCGAGCAAGTACTCCATGCAGATTTCTGTCATGTTCTGACTTGTCGTTGCCGAAAACAATTATATCATCCGAAATGTTCTTGACCCCAGGTAGACCGTGTAGAACTTGTTGGATAGAATGTTGATAAATCTCAGGAGCAGCAGATATCCCGAACATAAGACGCTTATACCGGTACAAGCTATCATGAGTAGTAAAGGTGGTCAATTGTATGGATTTCTCGTCCAGTTCAATTTGATGGTAGCCCCACTTAAGATCTAATTTCGAAAAAGCAGCTGCTGCGTTGAGATCCTGAAGGCTTTTTTCGACTGTGGGAATGGGATACCGCTCTCGTATTACAGCCGTATTTACCTGGAGCATGTCTACGCAGACACGGATTTCACGACTAGATTTTGGTACGACCACCAAGGGTGAGACCCAGGGTGTTGGGCCACGGACCTTCACGATTATATCCAGCCTTCCGAGTTCTTCAAGTTTGGTGGAAACTTGCTTGCGAACGTAGAAGGGAATTCGACGTGGGGGCTGAGCAACAGGTTTGATGTTGGTGTTGATGGAAATTTTCTGCTGGTAATTGGTGAGTTTTTCTACTCCGTCAAAGACACTGGGATACCGTTGGCGAAGGGAATTGGGAGATACTGCACAATTGATGGACGAAATTTGAAGTCCAACCAACCAGTTTGTCGCCCGAGAAGACAACCGGGGTGTTGGTTGTGTACCACTATGAACTTGACCACGATTTCTGCAGAGTTGCATTTTACCCGACCAGAGACTGTTCCCAGGATATTAAGTGGGGTCGTAGAACCGTATGCGTAAACACGAAGGGTAGAAGGCATTAACTGGACTCCTTTTCGCGCTTTTAGACGATGATATGTCTCGAGATCAAGGACGTTAACACTAGCCCCCGAATCGATAAGCATTTGCACTGGAATGTGTTCAATTTCCAACATATGAAGGCTGTCCGAACGATGATGCACATTATGAGCCGTGAGAGTAAATAAATGATAAACATTCGTTCTCAGAAGAGTCATCGTCAGACTGTTCAAGCTGTCGAGCATTCTTCCTGTATTGCTTCGGTTTGTTGGTCTTTTGGCGACAGAACCTAGCAAAATGACTGGACTTGCCAGAACGTCGGCAGGTTTTGTCAAGGTAGGACATTGGACATCCTTCGCATGGTGCCCTAGGCCCTTCGTTTCCACAACAATAACAAACACATTCTTGCCTATTATTGTCTTCACGCTTCGCAGAATTACGCCGTGCTTGTTGAAAATCTCTATTTCGTTCGATGGAATTGAGGTGAGTGGATGATTTAAACTTTTGTTCGATTTCTAAGGCCTGGCGATCGGCCAGTTCGAATGAATGAGCAATCGATAATAAATTGTTCAATGTTAGTTCTTGTTCTCGTAGTAGGCGACGCCGAAGAGCGTTCGAAGCATACTTTTCAATGACTTGGTCACGGATCATTTCATCTAAACTTGTATCGAACTGGCACGTTTTTGCAACAGTTCTCAAGCGAGTTACAAAAGCATTCATGGACTTGTCGGCACGTTGGGTTGTTTGTCTGAAAATATGACGTTCGAAAGCTATATGTTTTTACACGGGTTGAAATGTGCATTCAATTTCTCGAGCGCTGTTTTGTAATCCTCGCCAGTGTCAGGCAACGTCTCGAAGATTTC